AAATAATTTTTAAACCTCTGAGCTTCAGGAAACAAGAAAACGTTTAAGTAGTTGAACCATGTTTTAGAGTCTAAAATGATTTGCTGCAAGACTCAAAGATACGATGAAGATTTCAGGTCGGATCAGAAGCTTCTCTTCAGCTCACTTTGTTTGGTTTGTCGTCTCCAGAGGGGATGAAGATGAGGGGCACGAAGAACGAGCCCAACGGCACGGCCAAAGCCAACAAAGTGGTGAGTTCCCCTCCAGCTGCTGTGCACATCTGTCGGCAGCTTCTTTAAAGCTGTACAAGCTGCTGAATGACTCTGTGGCGTGTCCGCAGGACGAGGATCTGAAGTGGGTGGAGGAGAACATCCCGTCGTCGATGGCCGACGTGTGAGTGGAGTTTCTGGCTCGTTTTGTTTGTTTGTGGACGAAGCAGAGACGGAGTGTTCCTGCGCAACACGTTAACGTTGAGTTTTGTCCCCGCAGCGCCCTGCCGCCTCTGCTCGACTCGGACGAGGTGAGTCCGCTCGCTGCACTTCAAACATCGCCCAACAAGTTTTACACTCGTGTCATCGTAGGACGAGGCGGGACGGACTTAACGCCGTTCTGTTCAAACTGTGACGACGTAGATCTGTTTTGTGGATGACTCTCAGCTACTACCAGCCATAAATGTGTCAACCTGGCTGGACTGGGGCCATTTCTGCGTTTGTGTTGGCCGACCGCTTAAGTTTCATCTGGGGGTCATGAGATGTTTTGCACACAGACGCAGGAAACGGCGTTCTTGTCCTTCTGCCTGCAGCGTCGGGGGGGTATTTAAACTTATCGATATCAGATCTCAGTCGCCGTGGTAACCGTCTGAACTTGATCGTCCCCAGAGAGTTTCGGTTTAAGTCGTTCTGAAGAAGCTGCACCCCTTCACCTTGTTTTTGATGGTTTAAAAATAAAACCTGCAACAAAACTTCTAGTCGAAAAGCAGAAGGATTTGTTTAATTTCTAGTTTTTATCGATTTAAGCTCTTGATTTGTCCGAACATCAGCGCACGCTGCAGTACTGTCCCGGAGCAGCAGGGGGCGGCAGACTCTTGCAGGAGGTTTATTTGTTGCCACGGTTACGTCACAGTTGTTTATCCTCCTGCTCGTTGCCATGGCGAGCAGAGCGGCGTGACGTCAGCAGGCTGGTGTTTGGAGGTGCTGCAGCCATTAATAATCCAGCGGAGGAC